ACTCACGAAGAAGTTCACAAAATGTTCTACAACTATCACACGATAGATCATGAATACAGGGCAGAATCGAAGAACCCGCACTTCGAAATCGAAGATCGCCTATCAAGACTCTGCGATCAACCTGATACTTTCTGAAAATGGAGTGTCTGCTCAGGCATCCAAGCGACAACTCCAAGCGTAAGGTTATACTGTCTCTCTCAGAAGCGCTCGCCTGCTTGGTGACCTCCTTTCTTCAGTACGCAGAACTATTTTGCCTTAGATTTTCATCACCTGCGTCATATCGGATTTTCCTATACCGTTACAGCTTCAAGATCAAAGGTGCCGATCCAACATGAGAGAGATGGATAAAGATATGCTCCCAAATTATAGAACAATCAGTTCTCGTAATGAACACTTTAAGAAGGGCGACTGCACTCTTGAAATGAAAAAGGGTTTGGAAGCCTACCTGATCTAAATTTGAGCAAGCGAAAGGGAACTGGAGAACGGATTTCTTCTTGATCTGCAGAAAACGATCAACTATGTTGGAGCTGACATTCTCATAAGTGAATATCTGTCGTGGTCGTCGTGTAGGTGCCTGCTTGGCTCTGTTAAACAAATGGCCGGATCACCATCACTTGCAATTAAAAGTGGACTACTACAACAAGTTCCGGAGGAAGGTACAGTGAGCCAGTGCAGTAGAAGAGTTTCTCAAAGGTGTTTACTCCATGAAGGTGGCCTTGTGATTCTGCAGGGATGTTCGCATACTACTTCAGTGGCAACTGCTCGGTAAAGACGTTGTGACCCCCATCTGTTCCCGGAACAGCTACGGAATTTGAAGAAATCATCGATAAGCCGAATAAAATTCCCAAAAACTACGTATTCGTATTCGAGAGGGTCTTTTGCATGATTTTCAACTCGAAAGTTAAATATATTCACACGATCTCGGATCTGCTATCTCCAACAATCCAAGGACTGGCACGAGTTCAACATGGGCAAAATAAGGCCCACTACTCAAGCGTCAGTCTGGACTGAACTTCATAAATGACCTTGTCTCTTGATTATGGGAGGTTCTTCCATACCGCCACCTTTTCGATTATTTTTCAGATTTATCGGTACTCCAGATATCGACGAGCCCATCCTCAGCCGGATCCTCTGCCGGAGTATTTCGACGACGACGTTCAGTCTCGTTTCTCATTGCCTAACACTTTTTATGGGCTTCATTCTTTTTACAGACAATTTTCAGAAAGAACTCGCCAGAATTGAAGAGTACTTTCGTCGTCACCCGCAGAGGGAACCTTTGAACGCCTATCCTCAGCCGGATGATTCTAGCTACGATGTTCGGTGTCGTTTCTTCGCTGCTGCTTGTTTTTTATGGGTGCCGTTCTTTTTCAAACAATTTTCAGGATGAACTTGAGGAATTGCAAAATGGCCTTCTTCGTAGCCTTGATAGGGGAGATTTCGAAGATAAGGTTCGGTGTCGTTCCCTCATTGCCGAACGTTTTTCATATATGCAATTCTTTTTCAAGCAATTTTCAGGGTGAAGTTGCCAGAATGAAAGAGAACCTTCTCCGTTACTTTGAGAGGGAATTTATTAACCCCTCTTATTCAAGGGAAAAGGTTTGGTCTCTTTTCTTCATTGCCGAGCGTTTTTCATATATGCCATTCGCTTTTCAAACAATTTTCAGGAATTACTCGACGAAGTGCAAGGGCAGCTTGATCAAGAGTGGGAACGTATGAACGCTCGTCGACGTTCTCCAAGAAAAGCCTAAAGTCTCGTGCTGGATGACCTATGCTTTGTGGTTTGAGGTGCCAACTCAGCCACAGTTCACCAGCATAATAAAAATAATTATTGTGAAAGATATGGCAGCTTTAGTAATACATCACCACTCCTTCCCTTTTTCCAAAGTTCCTAAACAGCTATAAAAAAAAGAAAACGTCCAAATGGAAATCTTTAGTTCTATAAGCTTATGAACTCAACAAGTATCGGATGAAGTCCAGTAGCAGTATTCGCAAAACTCAGATTTCAGATTTCTGATTAGAATGAAAAGAGCTTCGAGCTCGAGGGAGCCGTTTTCTCAACTTGCACTCACCGTGTTTCTGGTGTAGATGATTTCGTGCTTAAAAATGGAAAAGTCGTTGGCAGAGGTCGTCTGTCAATATCCAAGTGAGAGCCATAATGCGAATCAGTTTCGCTAAAAGACTGAGTGGTTTCAATGAAAGTTTATTCGAGAAGTTTACTCATGTACATAAGCTCTATGTTTTGTCATCTGCTGTTATATCGCCGTAGTACGCGATGCGAAAGTCTCGTAAGGATGTCGACTTATGGACAAAACTTCACTTTCAGACGGGGCTCATACCTGTGCTGTGCTGTCCGGGTCATGGTTCTGTAGAGTGCCATTCTTTTTACAGACAGTTTTCAGAAAGATTAACCAGAGAGCAAGAGGGCATTTTTCGTCTCTTGAAAAGGGAACAGCCGGAGCATATCAACGACGAGGGTCGGTCTCGTTTCTCCATTGCTGATTGTCTTTTATGGGCGCCATCCTTTTGTCGAATATTTTTCAGGAAGTATTTGATAGAGTGCAAGAACAGCTTCGTCAAATCCTAGAGTGGGAATGTATGAACGCTTATCCTCGGCCGGAGCATTTCAACGACGAGGGATAATCCTATCATTCGTCACTTCTTGCCACCCACAGTCAACGATTTCTACTTGTATTCATTCTCACCTTGAGCTTTCTAGGCCCTGCGCAATCCTTTTGTTCAGAGCTTTCGTGAAGTAATCTGACTATCGCGCTGGCTGCCATTCTAGCGTTCTTACCGCAAAGCAAATTTCAGAGGGACCTACGGGTTCAGTGTGCCGATGTGGGCTGAAGTTGTTGCGTAATGATAGAGTTGTAGTCAACGAGAAAGTCTGCAATTTAAGATTCGAAAAAGCTAAATTAGAAAGTCGCTTTCCATCGCATTCCACCATCGCATTTGTACTGAATTGTAACCATTGCGAATGGAATGATTGAATAGGCCATCAATTGCACCAGCAGCAGTAATCTCTATCCCGTACCATCCCAGAGAGCCCACCGAAATCCAAAGATAATTGATGCTTTCCACTTTCAATTCAACAATTGGAAATTTTGCCAAATGTCACATGGCGGAAGGTTTCTCATTTTTACTCCTTCAACATTTCCTCTTGAAATGAATACGATTATCGAAAAATGAAAAATGAAAAAGGTGATTTTGAGGAGACCTGGAAGTCGCAGTTCGATTTGTTCATTTTATTTATCTTCTTCGAACTTTTCCTTAGAGGTTTGTCTAACTCAAACGGCAGTCTTAGCCATCAGAATTTGATTTAAGAGTAGTAATAAAAAGTATTAATGCCTTCAATGAAAAGGTTTCTCATTCCAAAGATTCATCTGTTGAGGTGAACACCCGCTTTTACTAGCAGCAGAGTATAAATGTTATTTCTCCATGCAGTACGTTGAGTAAACAAACGTTTCATCCGTGCACTTGCTCAAACTTTGTTTTTTTCAAAGTAATGACTCATAGTATGTACTTAACTCATACCAGATTTCGATGGTACACGGATTACAGTACTTCATAGGCGGGTACCAGTATCGTCATTACATATGTACATGTTGCATGGTAGATGGGTGGACTTTACCACGTTCTTTGAAAGTATTCTTCCCTATCTTGACTATTTTACGTATCACTAATTATCAGCCATTACGATATCTTATCATTCATAACATATGGCTACTTACCAGTTAGTTATACATACAGAACTCGATTTCTTTCTTACTCAATACTTGCAATAAGAAGAAGAATGCCTGCTTCTTCCCACAATTCCTTCTCAATTTCCAAATGTTTTGTGGTCTATAAAAAATCGGAACTCTTCGATAAAAATTATATTTCTTTGCACTTATGTATATACATGACAACTACAGGATGAAGCACCAAAATAGCAGCCTAATGCAAAACGATTGAAAATTGTTGAATTTGGGTTTTTTGATCGTGACAAAATACCTTCTTGAATACTGATAAGCTATTATTTCGATTTGCATTCACCAATATTGAATGAAGCTATTTTCCCATTTTTATATGGAAATGTTATGTGGTTGAATGTCATGGGACGTTTTCATTCAATCATTTCGAAAAGCAAACGTTTGCAGTATCCCACATTCATATTTAAGTTCACCTTTCATATTCGCCCTATCCCCTATCCATCTGGGTGAATCATCATTTATTGATTTCTATTGCATACTAGCTATTTAGGTGATCATTTGGGATTACTAGCGGATTACCAATGGGAATGTGCAAGGCTATACTACTCGCTCTGGCTTTACTTGCCACTACTCCGGTTTACACGCAGGTTCGTTTTTTCTAATCTTAAAAAAATATGCGGAACTTGCCCGCAAACCCTTTTGTGGGATGAAGTAGAATGGGAGAAGGTTTAGTTTGCATGGGTATCATCCTCGCAGTTTCACCCTACTCCTTGCAAATGAGGCCAATCATCGTGAAGGTGATTCTGATCTATGCGGCTCCTTTTCCCACCTCATCTGCTTATCCAACTAGTAGGTATGGTTATATTGACGGTGCCTGAACGATGAGGGTAATGAGGATGAGGGCCTGTTGGGAAAATGGATTCCAACTGTTTTAAGAATGTGACGACGTAGAGACCCTGAAGCAGAAGTTTTAATTATGGGATAAAGACTTGGAGCTAAGGAATGCATTATGTATGCTCCCCATATTTGTCATTTAGTCCCAAACGTACAGGAATTGATGAGTCAGATCTGCTCCTTCATATGATTTAGGACTGGGGCCAGTCCATTGCGCCCAAAACAACCTCCAACCCCTTTCCATGGAACCTTTTCGACGTAAGTCTGAGCTACACATCACATTTGCAGTGAATGACGAAGTTGTTCCTTTTATTATCTGTTTTTTATAGGTGCTAAGCATTCTTCATACAAATTTCAGGATGGATGGTTTAATTCTGGATGGTTGTACAATCTGACACAGCAAATTGAGAAAAATTTCAAAAATGCGTTCCAAAATGCTGGAGCAAGTATATCCACAGAAAATGGAACTACAACAGTCACAGCAAAGATTGGTGGAAAGCAATATACAGCCACATTCCCTGAAGCAACCAAAATATTTACCTCCTCTTCAACTATCGATATCAATGGGCAAAAGTCGGAGTCATTCAGACTAACTGTCAACGATGAAACGTACATTTATAATACAGTGAATGGCACTACAACTGTCACCAATGGCAAGGGAGAGCCCATCAGTGGAGGAGGTCCATTTCACATTGGCTCACGCTAAGAGACCTCCTCAAAAGGTCCTCCCACCTATGAGTGGGGCCTTCTATCAGTGAGTTTCGTCCACAGCTGATCAGCATGAGTACAGTAATATTTGTAATCGAGTTGTAGCTTTTTTCGGGGCAAAGTAAACAAGCATAACCTATTGTGTAAACAGTATAAAGTACAGTACTAATCAATAATTTTTTGGAGAGCTGTAAAGACGACCCAGTGAAAAGTTTCCGAAGTATAACAGAATGATTCATTCCGAGATGATGGCTGAGCTGTAGAGTCCATCTCGTTTTAGCTCAGGTAATTAGAGAGGAGAATTTTTTAATGTTTATCAAGACTGGTCGGGGTTCGCCCACGCATCTGAGGTTGATAAGTAAGCCAAGCTTGATCGCCTTGGGCTGCTCCTACCTGATTTGCAGAGCATCAACCTAGTACAGTATCACCTCCCCCTGCCTCACTCAGCCTAATTTGAAGTCAGTACATACGAATCCAGAGGATGTGATTGGGAGACCTGCTATGGACAATTGGACAGACTACCATACACCTCAAATAGAAGCGACATGATTTTGACTGACCCGAGCCTGACCACAGTGAAATGACGAGAAGTCTCATACCGTAGGCCTTGGCTACATTAATAAAAATTAAAGGGAGGGGTACTGTATTGGAAATTTCAAACATTTTTTTTCATCGGAGTTGAAATGGATGGTTAGGCATTCCTTGGTCAGTGACCCTGCAGTGCAGCATACACTGCCGCGGTTTAGTTTTCAGATTTTTCGATACACTACAGACGATCTTGATTATAATCTGACTTCAGTAAGGTTTCTGCCATTACCATGGCAGTTTCACTCTTTTCTCGACTAGAGTGTTTGCAAAAGAAGGCACTCCTGCATGATTGGCATATCGGTTCTGAATTCATGTTCTGCCCCAATTGATCGATCACCCCACCATCTCCTGAAATCCATGAACAAACTAGTCTGTGGAGTGGAAATGATCGTTTTGCAAAATGAATCGTTCTGGGAAACTAGACAGGCAGAACGAATCCGCGTTAAAGCCCACCTTTGTACCAAATATGTTTTTGATTTGCTGAATCTCCTTGATAGAAAATGATCTAAGGTTGAGTATTTGATTCAACGCCCGAGGAACAAATTAAAGGTTGCCAACCAGATCGACCAGTAGTGTTTGTATTTTGAGATATAAGCTTATACACTGGTTCCTTTTGTGGTAGTTAAGATCTCACTGTCTCTAGAACGAGTGTAGTATGAACCCGCTATCTATCCTATGTAGCTCTTCAATGGCGGTGTCAAAAGAATCTTCGTCCATCGTCAGTTTTCTCTAGCTCTTCTTGCTGTTTCTCCACTGTCCCTCTATAGAGCCCTGTCAGCTCTTTTCGTTTACCAAGACCACTAATTCAGATCAAGCTTTGATCGGGATGAAGCTAAACCAATCGTAAGTTCTAATCAAAGAAATCAAGCAAAAGCTGCATCGGAAGCCCCTCCCCTCAGACCGTTTTTATCATTGAATAACGAATTTTATCATTGGTTATCACTTATTAAACCTGCTCGAAGTATACCTTCATCGTTAGCGCTTCCTTATTCACCATTTTTCAAGAACCATACATAGTTTCTAACTAGGTGTCTGTCAGAAGTTTTTGTTAATGTTTCCCTCGTAAGCTTTTGTTTACTTCACCAACAAAGGAACCAATAAACTGTTGCTCCTTTCCCTGGAGGTTGAAGGTCCACGTTATCCAAGTGCAAATAGATGTGTATCTCAAAACAACAGCAATAAATAATACATTTTGACGTGTCGAATCCAAGCAATTCATTCAGTGAGGCAGTTCTAATTGATACTCTAAGCAGTCTAACATAAAATCTAATGATTACCTAAAACATATGTATTACATTAGAGGTGGTGACAACAAATAACGAAAGGCAAGTGTTTGCAGATGAGTCTTCACACCGAAAAATCGTCTGCTTTTTCATTCCAGCCATGCTGTAGGACAATAAAAGAAAGGTAGCGAGCGAGAACCAGATGATAGAGTACATATACCTATACACATCGCATAATTAACATAAGGATAATTTATAAAGTGCGATTTGGTCCCTTCTGAAGAATATTTTTATTCACCGAAACGAGTCTGATCACTCTGAAGCGTCCAAGCTACAATACTGTCTCGAACCGCATTATATAGTAATAATTTCTACATAGATATATAGGGAGCAAGAATCTCTTTCGGGCATGTTAACATAAAGTCGAGTTCATGGCTTATCCGTAGGGCCACGGGGTTCGAATAAAATAGACTCCGGTCTACTAATGAGACGAAGTACCTAGGTATACCAAGCTTTGTAAAGGGGCAGAGAGCGTGCTTTGCTATCGCGCGTAGGAGTTCAAACTGATGATGTTCGGTGTTTTAACAATAGCTAAGGGAACCATTGACAACCGTTTTGGCAGCGCTGGTGGTTGGCTTCAGTGCAATCGTAGTCCGGAACCTCTCACAGTGTCTACGATCCTTAACTAACCTTGCCGCGAGACTTGATCTCAGGTACTACTCCCTTTTTCTTCCAGATCTTACCCTGACCACAAGGTAAGACCATGGTGTTTGCACGTCGGTGGAATGCACAATGCCCACGGTTTTCCTTCAATTCCTCCCCACAAGAAAGGGACACAGGAGCTGTGACGAGTACGTGGAAATTGAAGGCAAGACGAAGGGCATGCCTATTGCAGAGCCCAACATGAGCCAATAACGATATTTTAAGCGCTGTTAGTAGAGAAATTGATGAATGTCAGGGTTGCAGATGATTCTCAAAACTTGATAAATTGCAATTTGTATCAAAAGTAAATCGCATGCCCAGCTCAGATTGTAGCCCCCGCAACAGAAGAGTTTGACTAGCGGTCAGCACTGATAAGTCGATTTAGAAACGCGTCTGGTACCAACTGGCTTTCGGAGTATGAATCACACTTTAAAATTTCGAAATCGATTTGTTTGTCTCTGGAGAAATTGCCAATCTCAATCAGGAAAGTATCAAAATTATTAGCGACACAATAGTGGTCATTCGACAAAATTCAAATACCCGGTTAGAATTGTCTCAGTGAATAGGTTAAGTAGCGAAAAATTTGGGTATCAATAGTAAAATACTGTAGATTTCTTTACTGGTGGACTAAATGAATGATAAATCTTTGTGTATACGATATTTTGAACGGGAAAGCAACATGACTGGGTAGTTAGTGCTACCTAGATAACCTCCATGATGAAGAATGTGTATCATCAGCCATAATTGAATCCGGACCAAAGAAATCATCACAGTGACCAAGATCGATTAGATTGATGTCATTGGAGGGTGAAAATGGTGGTTCGTCGTCGAGAAGATTCGAAAACGATGAACTCATTGAGACCGGGAATGACTGGAAAAGAAATGATTGCGAACGTGAATTCCACTCTTCTTTTCACCTTTGCTTCTGTTATGACCAACCCCCCCCCCAAACAAGGGGCCCAGAAGAGTGTGTACTATATATTATGGATAAGCAATAATAATAACAATAAAAAACAGCCGAGTAAACGACACTCACATTTATGGAAGCTGAATAGCCGGCACCAATTAGCGAGTCCGAAGTTCTCTTCACTGGCATTGCCTCAACGTCTTCCGTCTGAGTGCAAGCATCAGTTCTTCGATGGTGTGTGAGACGGTTCCGAATGGATGACGCCAGTGAAGGTGGGTCCATATATGACGATGGAATTGACTGGAATAAAGCTGGTATTATACATCAAGAAGAATCAATATATTGACCTGTATTGATCCCATCTTTCCACTCTTGCTATATGGCTCCTAGACTCGCCTTTCACTACTTGCTCATCCAGAGGTCCTACCACAGAACGTAGACCCCTACTCTGGGCCAGATTCATTCGTACGAGCAAACGTGATTTTAAACAATAACCATCGGAGGCAGTAATATGCACATAGGAGGGTAGGTAATAGTGGTCCAACTGGGAAGTGTTCCTTGAAATACTCCCTTCTTTCGAAGCTTCAGAGACTCCTTCAGCAAAAAAGATAACTATGGCTCTGCTACTCGAGGTAATTTCGTTTTTTGGGAACTAAAAACCGAGAAACAGGTCCGTATTGCAAGATTCTTCGTAGTGCTTGTGTATCAACGTGCCAGTATACTCGTCACTTTTATTAGCATCGTCTGGTACGCTATTGAATAAGAATCGTTCAAAAACACAATCACGAGAGGATCATTGTCGTCAGTGATCAAAAGTCATGAATGCTGCTATCATGCTCGTCTTTCCTTCAAAAACAGAAGTTAAAGAAGAGTCCGACGGCTCTTCATTGTAAACTCTTACACCCTGATCCTGTTTCGAATTTCACTGAACATCTATTTTGCAGATTTTGCAGAAGATTTTTTTATTCATCATCATCTCTACATTCCTGTTTTCTCGATATTCAATATGGTAAGGATAAAGTAGAGGATTTTTGGCCAAAAATGATTCTCTGGGCATCTCAAACCCTAAAAATTTTGATTGCCCGCTATATAGATATGTAGAGCAA